GAGGAAAATGTTGTTGCCTCAGATGATCTCTACTGTCAAAAGAAATCCAGATGCTGTGGTGGGTTTTTCAGGTAGCACCCTTAGTTTCCCGCAATATTTTCCTGGCAGGCAAGGCATTGAAATTTTGCCAGAATACCATGGAAACTGATACTCACAAAGCACGTCTGTCTGTAATGCTGCACCTCTGGAGTCCTGCTCAAACCCGCTGTGCCAAGGTCACTTGCTGCTGGGTAAGAGGGAAGAAGGTGTGGGATAATACATTTTGGATTCCAGCAGGGATTTGTTTGGCCTCAGATATTTTTCTATGTTTATTGACTTTATCAGTGTTACTGAGCTGGGCTCTATGAAAATTGATTGAGGTTCCATCTGCCTTTTTTGCAGACACACTGTTCTGTCAGTGCCATGACTCCTGGTAGTATTGGACCAGTAAGGAAAGAAACCACTGGTAAGGAGGAGTGTTTGTGTGTTGCAGCATTCAGTCCCATGTTAGCAGAACGTAACAGCTGTGGTAAGTAACCACAGATGGGGTTTGCTTCAATAAGAGAGCAGCCACTGACCTTTGAGATGGAAGTGGCATTTCAGTTTTACAATCACACTACAAAGTTCTTCTTTTCCTGAAAGCTGACCTGCAGAATATACAAAGAGAAGCAGAAAGGGTAACTCTAGAGCACTGCAGCCTCACATGGCGATGATAAACAGAGTACAGAGCACAGCCTGGTCATGGGCTGAGGGGAATCGTAACTGAGCAGCAGAAAGCTCCATGCAAGTACACTCATGGAATTGTGAATGCTCACTTAAAGCTAACAATGAAGATGGACTTCTAAGTACTCACCTGAAAGGAACTTTGTGGAGTAAACTGTGTGGAACTGAGCCTATGCCTACAAGAACAAAGAGCTATAAACTGTACTATGAAACACAGTCATATCATATTCCCCCTCAAAGTTTCACAACCTTAGTTAGACCACACAGGGGAAAAAATAGTAGCTTTGTTCAGTGGTGCCCTCAACAGATCAAGAGACATTTTTTGGTTAATCCCCTTCCTGCATCTAGTTCTTTGGCTGGGAACCGTGGACAATTACATGCTTTTCCTGACTGCAAGTGTTTTGGCATCATATAGAAAAGCAGACTTTCATACAATGAGAACAAATATCTTGAGGGTTCCTAAATTTGTGCCAACACCTTGTACTCAGGAAAGAATGGAAGACAAGTTTAGTTTCGGCAAAGTTAATGTACATTTCTTCCTGGAGCTAATACTGTCACATTATTGGACAGCTTAGTTGTGAGCTGTAGGAAAGGTCAGCAAGGACCAGGATGAGTGTAACAGGAAAGGAACCATGGTAAATATAATAAATAGTGTATTTGTGCTTGGGATTACAACAATAGCCGGAGATTCTATGGCTTCACTGGGAACAAATCATGCCTGACAAATTTGGTGGCCTTCTACGATGTGGTTACAGCGTTGATAGATAAGGCAAGAGCAACTGACATCATCTACCTGGGCTTGTGTAAAGCATTTGACACTATCCTGCGTGATATTGTTGTCTCTAAATTGGAGAGACATGGATTTGATGGATGGACCACTCGGTGGATAAGAAATTGGCTGGATGGTCGCACTCAAAGAGTCACGGTCAACAGCTCAATGTGTGAGTGGAGACCAATGACAAGTGGCAATCCTAAGGGATCAGCACTGGGACCAGGGCTATTTAACATCTTTGTCAGCGACATGGACAGTGGGATTGAGTGCACCCTCAGCAAGTTTGCCAACGACACCAAGCTGTGTGGTGCGGTCGACACACTGGAGGGAAGGGAGGCCATCCAGAGGGACCTTGACAGGCTGGAGTGGTGGGCCCCTGCAAACCTCATGAAGTTCAACAAAGCCAAGTGTAACGTCCTG